CTACACGACGCTCTTCCGATCTCCCCAAAACCCCAAAACCCCATGATTTAAATTAATCAGGAAATTTGGTTAATTTCAAATAATTAATTTGTAAAAATATGGGTAACTAAGGAATGGGCGGCGCTGGCCGTGGAAATCAGCAAATGACTGAAGAGGAAAGAAGAAGAGCTAGAGAAAGAAGATAGGAAGAATGTAAGATATTCAAGACTATATATACTGAGTCGAGTAAATAACTAATCTATAGAGAAGAGAAGGTAAGAAGCAGCTCCTACTAGAATTGGTAGAAAGAAGAAGGGCAAGAAGGGAATTGAAGCATCAAGTAAACTCCCACAAAGTAACAATAACTCCCTTTTCTAATAATAAATTCATAGTCAACCCTGTGTCAAAGTGTAGATTGAAGTTATTGAGAACTGAAAGAGTAAAGGATTACCTCTTGTTAGAGGAAGAATTCATTAAGAATCAAGAGAGACTTAAGCCTCAAGAAGAGAATAAGGAAAAGGAGAGACTTAAAGTCGATGAATTCAGAGGAACACCACTTACAGTTGGAACTCTTGAAGAAATTATCGATGATGAGCATGCCATCGTTACCCCACATGTGGGTCTTGAGTACTATGTGCCAATCTTATCATTCGTTGATAAGGATTAACTCGAACCAGGTTGCTCAGTATTACTCAATCACAGATCTCATGCTGTTGTTGGTATCCTTCAAGATGATATAGATCCAATGGTCAGTGTTATGAAGGTTGAGAAAGCTCCACTTGAATCATATTCTGATATTGGTGGTCTTGAGGCACAAATCAGAGAAATTAAGGAGGCAGTAGAACTTCCATTAACTAATCCCGAACTTTATGAGGATCTTGGTATCAAGCCTCCAAAGGGTGTTATCCTATATGGAGAGCCAGGTACTGGTAAAACTCTCCTGGCCAAGGCAGTTGCTAATCAAACCTCAGCCACTTTCCTTAGAGTTGTAGGTTCAGAATTGATTAAGAAATATCTAGGAGAAGGACCAAAACTTGTTAGAGAAATATTTAGAATTGCTGAAGAGCATGCCCCATCAATTGTCTTTATAGATGAAATCGATGCTATCGGTACTAAGAGATATGATAGCTCATCAGGTGGAGAGAAAGAAGTCTAGAGAACTATGCTTGAATTGCTTAACTAGCTTGATGGTTTCGATTCTAGATCAGATGTTAAAGTTATCATGGCTACTAATAAAATTGAGTCTCTCGACCCAGCTCTTATTAGACCAGGTAGAATTGATAGAAAAATTGAGTTCCCACTTCCAGATGAGAAGACCAAGCGCAGAATTTTCAACATCCATACAGGAAAGATGAGTCTTAACGAGGATGTTAGCATTGAAGAATTCGTGATGTCAAAGGATGAGCTATCAGGTGCTGATATTAAGGCAATGTGCACTGAAGCAGGACTTATCGCTCTCAGAGAAAGAAGAATGAAGGTAAATATGAGTGATTTCAGAAAGTCAAAGGACAAGGTGCTTTATAGAAAGAAGGGTAATATCCCTGAAGGTCTTTATATTTGAGAGAAATAAGCCAGAGTCATAAATGAGCCTTAATAATTTGTGATGTTAGAACAAATAAGTTTACCATAAGAATTGATATAATAGCAAATGAATTTTCTACATTGAAAGCATTATTATGTAAATTATTAGCAGTTGGGGTTTTGGGGTTTTGGGGTTTTGGGG